CATCACTTAAGTTATTATTATTTTTTTCATACGTAAACTTCATTGAGAAAAATAACTAATTCAAAAAATAAATTAAAAAAAAATATTGCTACTTTAGTATGTAATCAAATTTGGAGTTATATTAATCGGCGGCTTATCACTACATATAATCTTCGTATGTCTCACCTTAAATTGTACTCCCTCCACCCCTAAATTATATTTCTATTTCTATCATTTATTCCTCACATAATAGAGGAAAATAGAAAGGTAATTTAGGGACGGAGGGAGTACCAAATATGCTAATTTGGCTACATTACTAAATTCAATGCTTAAGCATTTATTATTATACTCCCTCTATTCCATTAAACCTATTGTAGACAGGTTCTATTTTTCCATTAAAATTGTCCACAAATCTATATTTTTAAACCTTTATTCGGCGTGTATTTCTTACTTAATAATCCAAGTGCTTTGAATAAGCAAACTATGACTAAAGTAAGGCCAGGGGTAGTTAAAATTGGCCATAATATTTTACTGAAAGAAAATTACAAATTAAGAAAGAAAAAAAGATAAACAAGTCGTGGAACGTCATTAAAAAAAGATGTAAAAAACAGTGACTATAATATTATGGCCATGGGCACCAAAAGGAGAAGGATCCAGGAAAAGTCTTAATGTAGAAGCTGAGCAGAGGATCTGAGTTACCCTGAACAAACAGAGAGAGAGAGAGAGAGAGAGAGAGAGAGTCAATCACCAAATTAAAACAGCCCAACTCCAACTGTTTTATCAAATCTTTTCAACTTCTTTCTGCCATAAAATCCCTGCACCCCAAAACCCTCATCATTTGCTGATGTCATCTTCTCTCATAACTACTTTTCATCTACTGTACCTCACTAGCTGCCCATCATTAATTATGTGGCTGAGGAGTATGTATGTATCAACACGCTCTTCAACTCACGTGACCACCTTCTTATTTTAAGCCCATTCATCTAATGAATATGGACGTTCACTAATAAATTGTGTTTAGGAACATATTGTAAGATGTTTATATACAGATATACATTTTCACTTCATACATACGAAGTACAACATTACCTATATCAACTTATCAAGGCTACAAATGCCAAGATTATGCCCATATATATCAAGGTTATATAATTGGCCATGATATTTGTTTGATGTTGCTTAATGAATTTACAAGATTTACGTGGCTAAATAAGGCTGGAAAACAAGTTACACTGAATAGTTTACACTATTATCCTAATTAATACAACATATGATCAAAATGTATGAACATATGATTTAGATAATGAATAGTAGAGTCGTATATATGTAATCTAGCTAGATTGTCGTTCTCCAGACTCCACCTGGATTTTATTAAACGAGAATCGAGGAGGGAGATAGATTTTAAAACAGGTATGACGGCTATGCTCAGTGATCGTACGGTGACGTATAAATGTCAATCTAGATATGGAGTTTATTGCATGCAGATTCAGATATCACATATCCCTTCTTTTTGTAAAATTACTTCCCTCATTTTATCAATTTCATTTTTCATTTTTCTGTAAAGTAAAAATTCCTACAACTATTCAGATATGGCCGCACTATGCAATCATTGTATCATACACGTTGTAGTACTCACATTGTAGTATTAATCTTGTTGTACTCTATGTTTATTACTTCCTCCGTTTTTCAATAATTGCAACACATCCTTTTTCACAGTATTTTAAAAAAGTGGGTCTCATATTATTTTAAACACTTCATATGAAGGAGAGAGATTGTTAAGAGTATAAATAAATGGGCCATGAAATTATTATAAGGGAAATAGTATAACTTTTGATATACAATACTTTCCAATTATAGTATTTTGCAACTATTATGACATTTTCATTTTAGAGTAGTGTTGCAATTATAAAGAAACGGAGGAAATATTTATTAATTAATTAGAGTAATGCTTCTAAGATGCACAATATATAAATCAAATTATTATTTATGTAGAAAAAAAATATATATACTTGTACAAATATTTTTGAAACTAAATAAACACTAATGACACATTCAAAAATATATAAACTACGGAAAATATTTATCATATTTAAAATATGATCAATTATTTGGAATCAATACACATGAAATAATATAGATATAAGTAATAATATATATGAAGTATACAGTAAAAGATATGGAATATATGTGAATCACAAATAAATATACTTCGTAGTTTTTTAAGAAAGTGAATCACAAACAAATATTTTCTTAGGAAAGTAAATCTTGATGACTGTTTTAGTTTTATGTTATGTTATTGAACTATTGATTATTGATTTTTAGCAATTTTCAATTCCCACATGTACATTTACTTAGATATAGAAATTCCTATAAAAAGTTACTTTTCACGTTGTAAATCAAACAACTTACTAAAAAAATCCCATAAATATAAAGTAACCAATATTAATCCTGCATGTGAATTTCTACTTTCTTTATTAAGTGAACATTACCTTGGTATTAATAACTAGCCCTAATAGAATCCCACCCACAGGCCACAGCACCCTCACTCCCTATATATATATTGAATGTCGGAGGCAAAGTTAAGCTTACCATCCACCCTAACTAATTAGTTAAGCTGCTTTTTCTCTGTTTTCTTTTTCTTAAAGTTTATTGAAAACTAAGATGGCTACTACTAGCACTACTATTGCTCTCAGTTTGCTTCTACTTTCTGGCCTTTTCCTCATCGATTTGCCTTCTGCTTCTGCTCTCGGTATCTCTTTCTCTCTCTTGTTAAATATATTTCTTCAATTTGTTTTGCAATTATACATCAAACATATTACATATACATACATTAATATAAATAAATGATATGCTACTAAAATATATAAATTGTGTATTGTTTGCAACAATAATGCAGATTGTACACCCGGATATGAATGCAACTTTGCTCAAATGGCTGTTGATGCTCGCCTTGATCTTCATCTTCCTAACAGAAAGGTCACTGCCTAAGTATCACACGTACTATTTATCATATTACCACAATATTCTTCTTCCAAAACTAAATAAATTAAGAAATTGAATTTGCATGTAGTGTTGATTGTTTTTTTTAATGCAGTTTCTGATGAGACATGAGCTTATCAAAAGCCCAACAAAGGCCCAACTATGGTGATGAATTGAGGACAGTCCCTGGTGGACCAGACCCAATACACCACCAAGGCAGTCCTCAAAGAAGGCCCAGGAACAGTCCATGATCTTCTTCTTTTATAAGGGACCTCATCAAACTTCTACATTTTGGGTTTAATTTTGAAGTTGAAAATAGTATTATATACTCCTCTAGTAGCTAAGGATCGGACCAGGATGTTTCGTTTGTGCCATGTCAACTTTTTGTCTACTAATTTTCATCCTTTTCTTGGTTAATGCTTTAATTTGTCTTTTTCAATATATAACAATAGAAATTTTCTGTTAATTTTCTATTAGTACGTAATTACGTATCCTTATAATGTCATTGTATGAAAAGCAATTATGTTATACTTCGTATTATATTAAACTTCCATATAATATCCCTTTTTTTGATAATTTAAGGACAATGCTTGAGTTTAAATCAGAGACCACTTGAGATTAAATAGTGAAAATTTTGGGTATGATGCATGGCTTAATTGTAAATAAAATGGAGAAAACGTAAAGGAAGAAAAAAAGAAAGAGTGTTGCATGGAATAGGAAAGGTGATATGAAATGAATGATAAAAAAAGGAGTTTTGAGTGAAGGAGTGAACTGGACTGCAGGTATCAAATGGAGGTAGAAATTTTGAAAGGTTTAATTTGTTGGAGGAATCTCTAATAATTAAAACTCTGATCCAGGCCAGTGTATTAACATCTCTTAATTATTACGTCATATTTGTACAGCTAACATTACCTTTCAAGTCACATTGAAGTTTGACATATCCATATTGGACATGATATTTCTACATTATTTAACATTTGTAACTTGTAAACTGCACCACACCTAACAACTTAAACCAAGTACTTGTATGTTACTTTAATCTATATATGTGAGTACATGACTATGTATGATTGATTGTATATTTGTATGAATGCATGATCATATGATTCGTATTATCTCCATTCTACAAAATTCCTATATATGGACTTCAATTCATATTGCAGTTTAATTCCTATATATGAACTTCAATTCATATTGCAGTTTTCCCTCACAAAATTTCATCTAATGTAATTTCTTGGAAGTTGATCAATAATATCTTGCTCGGCACACTATCTAACTTTGATGAGCATATTACCTTTAAATGTTATTAGTCCGAGCCCCCTTTCTACTTAATAGGGAGTACTGATTAAGGGTTTTAACCGCAAATTGTACCCATACTTACTAGTTTTAAGATTAAAGTAATTTTTATAAATTTTCACATAACAAAATAGAAACATTGATTTTCCTCAAAGAAAAAAAAAAAAAAAATTAGTCTCAGGGGTGTGGAGTACCTAACATAACAGTCTTGTAATTGGGTAAATTGGCGGGAAACAAAGAAAGATAGGCAGTAGCAATTGAGAAAGGCAATAGCCGCAGCAAAGGAAGAAGAAATGGGTCTTCCTCGAGACATTCCTTCCTACGCTTCGCTACTGGAACAATGTTGCAACACCAAGAACCTCCATAAACTCAGAATACTCCATTCCCAAACTATCAAACTCGGCTTTTCTCACAATGACTTCATTCGAGCAAAGCTCGTCTCTTCTTACTCCGCCTCTTCTCAAATGTCCGATGCTCAACTTATATTCTCTTTTACAAACCGTAAATCCACCTTTCTCTACAACACCATTATCAGAGGTTACTCTTCCACCAATCAATTCCATCTTTCTCTCGCTTCTTTCCATCAAATGCTTCAATCACGCAAATCAATTGACCTCAACACCCTTCCCGCTGTTCTTAAATCCGTCGCCGCCCTTTCTTTTCTAAGACTTGGCCGCCGACTCAACACTTTTGTATTGGTACATGGGTTCAGTTTCGATCTTGCTCATTGCAATGCCTTGATCACAATGTATGGTAAATGCGGTGACTTGCAGTCTGCGCGTAAGGTGTTTGATAAAATGCCTGAAAGGAACTTGATTACTTGGTGTGCCATGATGGGTGCTTACGGAATGCATGGGGACGCTGATGAGGTGTTTTGGTTGTTTGATAGGATGTTGGATTCCGTTGTTCGGCCTGATGGAGCGACGTTTACCACAGTGCTTACGGCATGTAGTCATGGAGGAAGAGTAGAGAAGGGGGAGGAATATTTTGAGATGATGGTTAACAGGTTTGAGTTGAGGCCAACCAAGGAACATTGTACTTGTATGGTTGATATGTTGGGTAGAGCTGGCAGAATTGAACAAGCCAAAGGGGTTGTTGAGAGTATGGAGATGGAGCCTGATGCTGGTTTATGGAGGGCTTTTCTTGCAGCCTGCAAAATCCATGGAAAATATGAGATTACAGTCAGAGGTAAACATTGGACGCTACAAGATTAGTGTGATTACTAACTACACCTTAGTTGTTTTGCTGTTAATGTTTCTCAGAAGAGGGTAGTTGATAGGTTATCCAATTTCCATTGTGTGTACTGTAACTATTTTTGGTGTGAAAAATTTGCTAGACATGGTATTTGCTAAAGAGTATGTTGGAAAATATGTATAAGATTGTACAAAATCAAAAGCAAGTTATCAATACAATCTGGATTAAATAAAATGATGTGTCAAACCAATGCAAGAATTTATGAAATAATCCTGGTATTGGAGTTGAGATCACCTTATAATTCTGGTTTTGAAGCTTCTCGAACATATCCATAATTCTCCAGTTCATATGACAGAAGCTTTAGAATTTCATAGATAGAATCTGTCTCCGAATGAGACTTGTTACTGGCCATGAATTCATGAATACTACCCTCTATTTCAATTGAGCTTACTCCAGGTCTCTTTTGTATCCCACGAGTTTTCATTTTTCTTCGAACCTTGTTTGCACCCTCCCAACTTCCAATAGCAGCATACATATTTGCAAGCATCACATAGTTTGAATCAGAGCTTGGATCCAACTCAACTATATATTTCATGACCACCTCTGCTAAGCCAATGTCCCCACAATCTCTACACGCTGCCAATAATGATCCTAAGACCACTTCATTAGGCTTCATTGGCATGTTTTTTATGACATTTAACGCATTCTCTAACCTCCCTGCACGGCTGTAGAGATCAACTAAGCAACCATAATGCTCAATTCGAGGAGAAAGATTGTAAACTCTTTGCATGTCTTCAAAGTAAATGAGCCCTTGATCTACAAGACCAGCATGACTGCAAGCAGTAAGAGCACCGGTGAAGCTTACTCCATCAGGCTTGAATCCTTCTATCTGCATTGTTTCAAAAAGCTTTAATGCCTCTTCAGCATGACCATTAGCAGCAAATCCACCTAGCATCGTATTCCATGATACCAAAGTACGAGTTGGCATATTGTCAAAAACTTGATGAGCAAAATCTACACGGCCACATCGTGAATACATCTCTATCAAAGTGTTACAAAGACGAATGTTATCCTTAAACTCCTTCCCCATGACAAACCTATGAATCCACAACCCTAAAGTAAGCGCGCCTAAATTAGCACACGCAGAAAGCACGGCAATAATGGTTACATAATCTGGGTCAACCCCAGAAAGTAGCATCTGATAGAAGCAGTCCAAAGCCTTGTCATCAAGACCCTTCTTCACAAAGCCACCAATTAAGACGGTCCAAGAAACCACGTCTTTAATAGGCATTTCATCGAACAGTTGGAGTGCATCATCAACCTTGCCATTCTTCATATAGCAATCAATCATAGTATTCCAAGACAGAGAATTTTTATCAAAAATCTCATCAAAACAGAGTCTTGCGAAATGAACAAAGCCACATTTAGAATACATATCAACGAGGGCAGTACCAACCTTGACGTTAAGGCTATTAAGGGCCAATTTTCGAAGATAGGCATGAATTGGAAGAGCAAAGTGTTTAGCTTGAGAAGGGTAATGGGCAATGGCAGAGAGAAGAGTGATGAATGTAATATGATTAGGGTGAATTCCAGAAAGTCGCATTCGATTGAATTCATTGAATGCTGCAGAAAGGTTGCCGTTTTTGGAATGGCGAGCAATGGAAGTAGTCCATGGAATAATGGGGACAACCTGTTTGTGGGATTGCCTAAGAGAGATGTTGTTATGCTTTGGAGTCAGACTTTGGGTTGAATTTGAAGGCCGAATTGGCGGGTGTTGATGTTGCTGGAGTTGTAATTGGACTTGGAATTGACTTGGAGTGCCTCTGCTAAACCCCATTTCGTAGACTCCTATAATTTGTTCAAAAATACTGACTATATGAGCTAAACTAAAGTTTGAATTATTTCAAAATAACTCATACTTTAGATTATTATGAGTTTATGCACTTATGACAACACCCAGTAAATGTTTTTTTTTTTTTTTTTTTTTTTACCAAAAGAAAAAGGATTTTATTATTAATAAAAGATAGTCAAACGGCACTTACAAACCATTCTTAGAAAATCTAAAATTCCAATTCAAGTACTCCGTACAAATCACCTTAGAACTAGTTGCATCGCAGATTCGATCAACAATCGCCTTAACAATACAAGTACATCGCAGATTATATACATTAACTTTTTATTAAAAAAAATACTAATACTTTGTATATTGTTTTTATCAAGTATCAACCCATCATTTAATATAAACAGTAAAACATCATTCAATTCACTCTTGGTAATTCTAATGAAAACAGACTCCATTGAAAAATAAACCAAAGGTAATGAAACTCCTCAAAATTATAGTATTATTATTATTATCATTATATTAATTTGTACAGACAATGAATCACAGGACTGATATTTTACTACCAAATCCGAGGGGGTTTCTTCTAGATGTACACACTAAGAAAAACAAAAAAATTTAATCAGCCAGATAAAAGCACAAAAATTCTGAACACCAAAATGTGTCAGATTGTGATACTACTCCAAAGAGAGGAGAAACTTCCATATAATTTAATGGAGCAAACTTATTTGCCTGATGTATAAAGGATTTTCTCTAAAATTTAGACTTATCGGGCATCCGCTGAAGTGAAAGAGTCTGCAAATCCAGTAGGCCTCGCAGGTATACTTCCCCTGCTATCATCCATGCTTGCACTGCTATTCCCCTTGCTTTTATCTGCTTCATTTTGCCATCCCTTTAACATCTCTCTCAGAGGCAGATTGTAATCAATCCCTGAGTAATCCTCAACATCTTCATTAAACGGCTTCCATTTGTCTACTAGTGATGCAAGCACACTCACAGCATGCCCCATATCTGGCCGATGGTTCGGGTCTCTTGCAGTGCAGTGCCTGCAAGATCAGCTATTATGCTTATGCTTTCGATAGCATCTTCTTTGATGTCCAGAGCTGAATCAATTGAGGGCATTAATGTCTCTTGGCTTGATTTTATTCTCCAAAACCACTCGGCTAAATACCGGCTCTCTTCAGAACGTTCCTCATCAAGTGCCATCAATCCAGTTAATAGTTCCATTAGTACTACCCCAAAGCTGAAGACATCAATTTTAGTTGAAACCTTCCCTGTGACTGGGTTGGAAATGACAAGAAGCAAAAAGGTTGGTAAAAATATCTCAAGGCCAAATAATACGGAGTAGTATGATTCAAAAAGTCAACCAGCAACATTTATAATTAGATTGACAAAACACCAGAGAATATAACTAGTAACTTTTAAGGTCAGCTACAATTATACACCCCACAGTAGCAATGTATCTTCAAAGAATGTGCATTTTTTCCACAGAATTGCATAATCAAATGAATATATACAACAAATGCTAAGTCCAAACAGTACCAACAGAACCATTTATATTCGGAAAATCTAATGAAGACTTGAGTATATGTGCAACCATTTTTACTGAAGAATGATGACATAATTTATGCAACATACTTTTGCACCTTTAAACTCTACCAATGTCATTACTGTGTTGCATATAATGTTGATAAAAACAAAATGAAAATACGGCTTTGTATTAAAATGATAAATTAAGACAGGCATAATAATTCATACAATGAATGCAACATACCAGCATATTCAGGAGCAAGGTACCCAAAAGTTCCTGCAAGTCTGGTTGCAACAGATTTCTCTCTATCAGGAGCAAGTTTCACCAACCCAAAGTCAGAAACTTTCGCCCTAAACTCGTCATCCAAGAGAATATTGGAAGATTTGAGGTCACGGTGTATGAAGCTTTGATGTGCTAAGGTGTGAAGATATTCCATCCCTCTTGCAACGTCCAAAGCAATAACAAGCCTCCTTTTCCAAGACAGAGGTTCCAAATTAAGATTTTTCCAATGGAACAGATGCCTGCTTAGAGCCCCATGAGGCATGTACTCATAAACCAAAAGCCTTTCATTGCCTTCCGTGGAGTAACCAAAAAGAGACACTAAATGGCGATGCCTAACCTTAGACAAGACTGCAATTTCAGACTGAAATTCATCCAATTGTTTGCTGTTAATCACCCCAGCCTCCATTCTCTTAACTGCTATTATAGTCCCATCTTCAAGTTCTCCCTTGTAAACTACTCCAAACCCACCACGACCAAGTTGATTTTCCGGAGCAAAATCATTGGTCACTTTACGAAGAACCTGAACTGAAATAACCAAATTTCCAGATTCTATTACATGAGAATTAGAATTTTCCATTGGGCTACTGTTTCTACTCCCAGAACTACTACCAGTTTTGGTAAATAAGCTTCCAGTGTTGTTACTCGAGACTGCAACCTTAACCATATTGTCTGGATCATATGGGTCCTTTGGATGAACAACCACAGAACAAGGTGCCTCAACAGTAGCATTATTCTTCTTACAACAGAATACATACATCAGGATCAAAAGAAGAATAACCACAACAGCAGCAGCAATAGCAGCAAATACAATAATGAAGGCAACTCTTTTTGATTTTTGAGGTTTGGTTTGTTCTTTCGAGGAAGCACTTGAACTTTGCTTCGAGGCAACACCAGGGGAATGTTTTTTTACAGGTGCAGGTGCTCTCACACTTCCTTGAGACAAGCCAGGGGATGGAGTTGGTAAAGGGGAATCAGCCACTGGTGGACTACTAAGGGGTGGTGGATGATCAATAGGAGAAGGAGATTTCCCACTATGGTTAGAAATAAGAGAAGGATTTCCATCAATATCTACCTGAACACCAGCATGGAATTTCGGCAAGGGAGGTTTGAAATTGTTTTGGGAGACATCTAACAATGTCAAAGACTTTAACTGAGTAATGTTGGCAGGAATTTGACCAGTGAGATGGTTTCTTGCCAATCTAATTTGACGCAAAGAATCCAAGGTAGCAACAGAAGGACTAAGAGTGCCACTAAGATTTCGATTAGGCAAATTAAGAGCTACAACTTCAGAATCAGAATTGCAGGTGACACCTAACCAAGACCCTTTACAAGGATCATTACCAGACCATTGAGAAGCAAGAGAAACAGGATAATTGATATCAGCAAGAAAATCTAAAAGAGCATTCACATTTGGTGCACATAGTAGTCCAGGTGTTGATTGACAAAACGAATTCGAGTCATAAGAAACATTACCAGACTTGAACTTGGGGATAGGACCCATTAACATGTTGTTATTCAAATCCAACCTCTCCAACTCCAATGAAGCCAAACTTTGAGGGATTCGACCGACGAGCTGATTCCCATTGAGATCAACATCTTTTAGTGAGATTAAAGTACCAATACCCTCTGGAATAGTACCAGTGAAGTGATTCCCATGAAGCCAAAGTTGAGTAAGATAAGTCATTGAAGCAATGACATCAATGGGCCCACTCATTCCTCCACCTTCCTGATCATTCAACCATAGAATCTGCAACATGGAATTGTTGAAACTCATGGGAATAACTCCAGATAGCTTATTATAAGAAAGCCTCAAAGCAGTAAGAGAAGGCAATGAACCAAGAAATTGAGGCAATGGACCAACCAAATTACAATTAGTCAATGAAAAATTAACCAAGTTGGTTAATTGAGCCACATTAGGAGGCAATGACCAGCCTTTTGTTGCATTAAGAGGGTTATTATCTAATTCTAAAACCCTAACACTAGTGAGACCCTCAAAGAAATCAGAAGGAATTTCATCAAAATTGTTGAAATCCAAGTATGCAAATTCCAAGTCTGACAACCCATTAAAAGTTGGCAATTTCCCATGAAATTGGTTCCTTTGAAGACCCAAATTGGAGATTTTGGAAAGCTGGTTGAATTCAGCAGGAAGAGTACCCTTAAGACCCAAACTCTGAACTTGAATTTGAGTGACCCGATTACCCGAACAAAACACATGTTTCCATTTGGAGCCACATGGATCATCATCCTTTGGCCATTCAAGGAGCTGTGGATTTTGCAGACCTTTTCTGAAATCATTCAGAATTCTCAGATCATTTGGATCAGTCACACACCAAACCACATGGTCCAAACAAAAACCCAACAATGCCAGCCACAGAAATAATAAATTCTGTTGCTTTTGAATCATCATCATCATCAACATAAATTGGTTTGCACAAATGAATTACATCAATGGCCAAAAATGAAAACACATTTTGGAGGATTCAATGTATGTTTGAGGATTTAAAAGAAGTGTAATGGGGGATGAACTTAGTGTTACGTAAGGAATTATGAAAAGAAAGATTAGATTCAGACAGAAAAAGGAAGAAGAACCCTAAATTGATTAAGTTTCTTAAATGGGAAAATACAGAATTGAATTGGGTGTTAAGAGTGTCAACAGGAAACTGTAGAAGAAGAGTGAATTTTGGTTGGGAAAATGCCGTACAAATGGATTTGTGTACAGTTTCAGACTTTGAGAGTGTGTGTTGTGTAAACTCAACTGTAATAGAGTGAGATTGTTAATTACTGTGATTAAATTAAATAAATAATAATCACGGAAAAAGCCATATTTGGTGGGGATAACTGTCGCTATTATTATACTACGTAAAAAAAAAAAGGACCCTGAGAAAATGCCGCTTGCTGAGGGTAAATCAGGAATAAATACAAGAAACAAACAATGTTGCACCTTTGTTTTGTTGTGCTCAAGAAGCTTCTCACCGACACACGTCATGCCTCTCTTCAGTTTCATCCTACATTCCATTCCAACTGTTCTTATGTATGCTCCACTTCTAGCACACAATTTGGACTATGTTTTTTTATTTAACCATTTTTCCAACCATTATCAAAGGAGTAAAAAAAATCAACCTAACTCATCCTTCAATTTTAGAAATCAATGAGAAAAATTGTTGTTTCGGGGTTTTTTGATGTGTCCTGCGGGAGAGTTACAATTCCAAGAATGCCCTTCGACGCCTGTGCCTGCAAGATCACGAAGACTCCTGGGGGTAGGAGCTCCGCCTCCGACGATCAAGTTAGTAAAGATACGGGAGGTAGAATGCACGTAATGTAGAAGTTACTTCTCGCGTAATGGGAGAATTCTGCAATTAATATTGCTCGGGGTAAGTGTTTTTCTTTTTGAGGAGTATTCAATGTGAACAACAAATGTTCCAAACCCCATTAATGAGGGTCCTTCCACTATTTATAGTGGGGAAGGGATGGTTCCCCTTTTAGGGTTTAGAGGACACGTGTCAGCAGAGGATTGGAGCCCTGCTGACCAACGGCTGGATGCCACGTGTCACTAGGCCATTGGGCCACGTGTTTAGGGT